TAATTAAAGATAAATCCATACATATACATATACATTTATACATATTGTAGCATAAACACCAGAAGCATAAATGCTAAATACAATAAATTGTTGGTATTTATGAAAAGTTTTCAAATAAATCCTGATATATAGTAGTTCTATGTACAGAGTATTGTAATCTCAATCATTACGACTTCGTCAATATTCAGGGATTTTAAATGTATTTAAAATCCTATTCGCACGACACGGGTCTTAATACCAGTTGGGCGCCATGTAACGGGGGGGAATATCTTGCAAAAATGGGAAATTTATTTATAAGCAAACTCCCACGATGCAGAGCAAACCGCCGCTCCGTTAATCACATATGTAAGTACGTGTATTCGCTTTAACGTCAGATGATTTCTCTTTGTGGTCTTCTATCAAACGGAGTTGAACTCACCTTAAGTCACATGTATCGTGACACTCGATGAGTTTGAAGTGTGAGCGACTTTACTCCTTCTCCGCTTAATCCCCTAGGCGTAATACGATTAACACCTAAGCCTATTTCAATTTCTTAAACTATTAGGAAAATCATATGACGAAATCGGCGAATAAGTTAACAAAGTTTATTCATAAAAAATCTATACAGTCTTTGTCGGGCCGAAAGACTGACGCACGCGAATAGGATTTACAATTAAATAATTTTCCGGTGAGAAAGAGAGAGAGAGAAGATTCGAATATTGGCGCGATCTAACGCTCGGCGCGAATACAAAAAATTTAACACTAAACGGTTGAACAAAATACTTAATATATTTTGTCTCGCGATAATTAAGGGAGGTGCACCTACCCTGCGGTGCAATTACGGTGATCAGCCGTAATTGTTGATGCCAATAAAATGTATCAACTGCCTCCGGAACTGTTATATCAGCTGCGCTGTCTCGTACCGCCTATCAGCTGCAAATATGCTGCTACCGTGATGCTGTAATCTGCCGATCACGTTGTTGCACTCGCGCGCGTAATTACTCTGGGTAAACTATCACTCGGCGAGAAAACAGTGCAAACAAAATTCCGGCGATATCCTCTCGTATCAACAGCTGAGGCGTAACTACTAATTTGAAAGATCGCGCGCCCCCTCTCTCTCTCAATACTTAGAACTAACGCGCGAAATTCAGAATCGCGAACGGTGCGATTAATTGAATCGACTACCGTTGCAGCCGTTATTAATTATTTTTATCTTTTTTGTATTTATAATGAAAAGAAAATAATAATTATTACATAAAATTTGTAATACTTGGGACATATTGTTATGCAACATGAATGTTATTTAAGAAATACATTTATTTTTCGCTATTTATATAAGGTTAGCCCGCATGTGGTTCGGTAAGGGTGGTTTATAAGGGTGGGGGTTAGATAGGTTAGGGATAGGTAGTAAAAATGTTGCTATAATACGGTGTGGTTGGTCTAAAAGATCATTATGATTCAAACACTTTTTCGATGATTGTCATTTCTGTCAGGAATTCGTTGAATGATAAATTTTAATTTACCAATAAATAAAAAAAAGGAAAAGATGAAAATTATTATGAAAAATGTAGTATCGCGTACGATGTCTCTTACGTAAATATATTTATGTATCTACATACGAATATAAATATATATGTATTGTGACGGTAAACGTCAAATTAGCGCTGATTATTTAGCTTAATTGCTGCCTGTGAGGGCAGCACCTGCCGGGGGGACGAAATTCGTAACTAAGGAATTCGGCTCGCGAGCAGACGGAACGCGCGCGATTGAATTCGAACCAGTGAAGCCTAGACCATCATTGTGTCCGCCCGCTTTCGTTATCGTTATCGCCTATTCACGAGCCATCAACGTCAACGCATCAAAACAGCAGCAGCTAGTTATCCGAAATTGTAGCTGCCAAGGTGCCATCCAGCTACCAGTTTGAAGCCAGGACGAGTGTGTGTGTGAGGTTTCGCCATCGAGGGCGAAACCATAACGTGCGCGAACTCGCGACTCGCGAAATAGACAAAAGAAACTGTTCCGCTCTGTGCGAGTTATTTGTGTTTTCTCCGATCGCCTGCAAATATAAGGTAAGCTGGCCAGCTTAATTTCGCGATCGCGATCGTATGAATAATAATTTAATTCTAACATTTGATGCGTGCATGTAACGGCTCTAATAACAAAGAGCAGCGAGCGTACCGGCAAAGCGTGTTGTCGATGAGCGAGCGTCAACGTAAACAAACGCGCGGGCCGACCTTCTGTAGAGTATAAGGGATAATAAAAGATCTAGTTCATTTTACTAACAAGTGTTTTCTTTTGATTCGCTTATATCTCATAGCTTCCACTCACTTTCCTTCGATAAGAGAACTTACTGGTTGACTGGCGCCTATCTTTGCATGCTCTCCGATTAACGTACCGAGCATAATTGACTGCGCGCGTCCTTTTAGTGTATTTGCGCGCATAAAATAATTAAACGGTTTTACCCCGTTACAGTATAGATCTATAACTGATAATTAGACCTCGTGTTATTCTCGTGTTTATTTTTAAGAGATATATCTCGCCATTTTAGTACTATTAAAATAAAATGTATTGAACATATTTTTATTTGTCATAAATTATGTTTCAGCTACAGATATATTTTATCAAAAAAAAATGGGATAGCCCACATACGGTGTAGAAATCAATTATTTTAAGAAAAAGCAACTGATAAACTCAATTCTCCCAAAGTTAAGTCTATTAGTCTACATTTGGTTGTTGGGTAAGGGTGGTTTATGGGGTTTTGGTGGGTTAGAAGTAGGTTGGTTAGTTGAGGTAGCTCGCTCAGGCGTAGGATTAAATTATTTCAGGAAATAACAAACGACTTAACCCGTGTTTCCCAGGATTAGGAGGTTTAACCCGCATGTGGTTCGGTAAGGGTGGTTTATAAGGGTGGGGGTTAAATAGGTTAGGGGTAGGTGGATAAGAGATATGAGATTCAGCTGGAATAACTCGCTTATGTTATAAAATTCAATTATTTCAAGAAATAACAAACGACTAAAACTGCTTTTCCCAGGATTAGGTGGGTTAGCCTGCATGTGGTTCGGTAAGGGTGGTTTATGGAGGTTTGGTGGGTTAGAGGCAGGTTGGTTAGTTGAAGTAGCTCACTCATGCATAGGATTAAATTATTTTTAGAAATAACAAACGACTAAACTTGTTTATCCCAGGGTTAGGTGGATTAACCTGCTAATAGTTTGACGGGGGTGGTTTCTAGGGGGTGAAATATCCCTTAAACATTTTTTTTTTAAATCCGGAAAGACATCAATTTAATTTTGGTATTTTCTCATTATCAGTGCGATTTTTAAATCACTTGAGCTGGATTACTATATTACATGTCGTAAAACAGTACAAAAAATAGTGTATTTACCCCTATTAAAAAGGGGGTTGCAACCCTTCGGTATAAATGTTATGTCCTTAAAAGCGCCTTTTTATAAGAAATTTTTTAATGTTGAGTTTTATGAAAAATATTCATTTGGTGCTGAGAAATATTAAAAAAACTGATTTTAGGGGTTGATTTTCAGGGTGGATTACACCCCTTAAAAGCCTTTATGGGCCGATAAAAAAACACGTATCTAATTTTTTTTCAAGTACTACAACATATCCCAAAATCATTCAAATCTGTGAGGTCGGGTTGGGGTGGTTCCCCTGTTAGTAAATTAACAAATTTCTTGAAATATTAAATAGAACATGCGGGGCCAGTTCTCAAATAAAGGTTAGGTCCCCACGCTCATGGGCCAATTAGTGCCAGAAAATCGAAGGAGGAAATTAAAAACATAACTCTAAGCTAATAAAAAAAAGTATTGTTTAATCTAGCTTTCTGAGTTCTGTGGGTTGAGAAAGGAACTTTCGTCCCGACCACTCGCAGGGTTTAAAAACAGCCGCGCGAGTTGACCACAGCTAGTTTTTGTCGTAGTCACAAATTCAAATAGAAAATCCTGAAATTTAAGTGTACAACACAAGAATACAAAAATTAAAAAGAAAAGTCTAAGTATTTTTCTCTTCTTCATCCCTTCTATTACAAGTCTACCTCTGCATTTGTTTTAGTTTTGTGATTAGTAGTTCGAGTAGCGAGTAGTATTTATTTCTGTGTCTTGTGAGTAGTGTTTCGACAAATTTGATGTATAAATATTACACTATAAGATGTTTATAAATTCTTTGTTAATTTTATGTAGATATTACGGTAAGATTCAGGATATCTACCTACAAAAGACGATTTCTTTGAATCAAGATATTAGATGTAACTCTTGTAATATAAAGTAAAGAATAAAAATTAAATGAATGCATCGTAACGCTAGGTAGTTTCTTTCTCTCTCATTAATCGTCACAGTACACACGTCGTACGAAAACCAAATTAGAGCAACTTGAAATTAAGTCTACCTCGAATATACGTAACATACTGTCTTGATCCCTTTATAATTTTCTTCAATAATAAATTTTGTAATAATGGAAAAAAGGGAAATAGTGAGAGATGGAAAATTCACTAAATTTTAATTATATTCAGCAACGTTTCGTCAGCATATTTGCTGACCTCTTCAGGCTGATTTCTCTCGTAGTCAAATTATTATAGGCTAAAACGAACAACTCGTAGCGCCTTATCAATGTTTTTACAATGTTTTTACCTTACGTTTAAGGTTGCGATCACGTTACAATTACGTTTGCCTCGAATATACCTGAGAGTGATCTGGACGTCATAATGGTTTCTTCAATATTGTAATTTAAGAATTCCAGTCTAATGCCATGTTTAGTCTTAATACTAAGCGCATGACAAATCACAGTTACTTAGCAATCTAATGAATTCCGTGTGATCGATACTGATTAAATTATTTAGAAGAAAACTTGTGTAAAATTACAAAAGATTGTAAAATATTAAAAATACTTTGACGAAAGATATTTGCTCTAAAGCGCATTTATATTTAATGTTACGATGATTTACAGTTGGAAATTCTACATTCTATTTCTATTATAAAAATCAATTTAGTAATGAAAGATTCTTATATAGTACTTACGTTCCATCTAACCCTCGAACTGCATCTTCAGCATCTCTCGGATCTTCAAATTCAACAAAGGCAAATCCTGGTGGATTTCGAGCTACCCACACGTTTCTTAGTGGTCCATATTTGTTAAAAGCACTTTCAATCTCGTGTTTACTTGCACTACTTCCTAAATTACCAACATAAACCTTGCATGATAAATCCCATTCTCGAAAGCGTGATGACATTTTTTAAGTCTGCAATATTTTACATTATATTATAAATCTAATTAAATCATATCAACAATTAAGTAATATTTCAAAAGAAAATATGTAATGGTCTTTTATATTGTAATTATTGTATAAAGGAAAAATTAATATACTTTTTATCTCGTAGAAGTGAAACATAAACGTTTATTGGTATATCACTTTGTTTAAGCAGCACTCGATCGCATGCGGTTAGCAGTGAATTGAAAAGAGAAAAAAATTATGAGCCAGAAGAGAGTTCAGTGCCTTCCTCTATCCTATATTCTAGAAAGGAGTCCATTTAGAAGGTGCTAACATCTCGACCAGACGTTCTTCGGTTATTTAACGAAGTTGATAATTTGATGCTGCTCTCTCCTTCCTTGTCTTTTATGTAGCAGGGCCTAGGTATGAAATCGGCAAAGAGAAGTTAGGCATACACACATTAGAACTAGATACTCCGTATCCTAGTCCTAAGCGTGGATTCTACCACAAGAAGCAGGAAAGGAGAAGGAAGACTGTCAACCTCGTTCAAATAACCAAGCAATATCCGATTGAATGTCAGCACTATATTAACGAATATTTTCCTGGGATACAGAATAAAAGAAAGCACTCGTTGTTTAAACCTGAAGAATCTGATTCTTGTACGTATTTTTCCAACTATCATGCACAACAGACCCCCAGAAAGGGATGCAACTTCTTTTTTTGTTTTAATACAGAGTGTAGAGAGAGAGAATACACTTATGGTGCAGTTGTGTAACAATTCAGTACCAGTGTCTGGCGGAAGTGAGCAAGCGGATTCTCTGACATAGTAACTCTGCGATCGCAGTATTGAACGAGTGGAACAGTTGGGCTTTTGCAGTATCTAATACTAGAAGTCTAAATGGTCTCAGGTGAAGCATAGAAGTAACCAATTCTATTGTATTATATTGTATATAGTATAGACTCTGGTAGGAGTTAACAGAAAAAGAGAAATCAGAACAAGAATTCCATAAGGCCCTAGGGCAGGGAATCATTGCCATAGCAGTCAAATCGATAAAAGTAATTTCATGCAAAAATTGAGAGATGGAAAAATCCGATGAAAATGTATCAGAAATAATGTAACTAAATGATATATGTATAAAATGCAAATCGAGATTTTGTATCAGTTTCTTTTATAGAAGAGACCAAAGTTTGCAAAAGTAGATTTTTCAAGTCTGGTAGGTTCAAGTGACGGTATACACTTTAGATGAAAATGTTTTAGATATAAGTTATAGATAATAAAAAAGCTACAATTTGAGTCGTCACATGATTATTTCCGTTTATTAGTTATTCCAAAAAGTACCAATAACCCTAAAAAATGGCGATTTTTAACATATGAAATATTTGTTGCTCAGATTACTTGTTTAATAATAAATGCCGTTAAGAGAAAGTTCTCATGATTCTAAACAAAATCATCCTTCGCGCGGATAAATATGTTAATTAGTTAATAAAATATTCTAATTAATTAACTTAGAGATAGCTAAAGTACATAGTTATAATTTTTTTCTTTTTTTAATTCGCAGTTCTTGCAAAAATTACGGTGAAGAAGTCAATTCAGTGCCACTTCATATTTTGAACTTTATTTAATCTTCGTTACATTTCCTAAATTTCTACTTTTTTATACTTATAATTACGTTTGAAATAAAGTCTTATAAAAGTCAAGAACCAGTCGCAATAGTGAGGGATCTTAGCCCGCCCACTTTCTGGCGCTCGGAAAAACAAAAATCAGGTATTCAAAACTGCAACTTCCAAAAAAGCTAAACCAATCTTATTCATTAATGGACCAATTTCAATATATTTAAAAAAATGTGGGATAGTTTCAAGAATTCTGAATAATAACATGCTTATTATTAATGTATATATTATATATTAAAATAATTATTGTGATGGTAGCCGACTTTTTTTGGGCGCAGATTTATACCTTTCTTTCACTTCACACTCGTTTTGTATAGAACTATTCGTTAAAATATTTTATATAATATATTCATCGTTATAATTTTCATACTATACTGTTTTGATATTAATACAATTCTCGCAAAATCCACATAATATTATACATTGATACAGACATTCTTCTATATGAATTATAAAGGGGTATTTATAAATTTCATACATCAAATTATTCTGAAAATAATCTATTTGGTACCTAAATATATAAGAAGTTACCTTGAGTTCAAATGATGACAAACGTTACTTGTTACGTAAAGATTCCAATAGTTTCCTTTGGGGCCGCTATAGAATACTAGAAATATATATCTCGCTTTACCAATAGCATTGTATTATAATAAAGGGAAAGAAAGATTCCTAATATCATTGAAGGTAGAGGGCAGCAGCAACAAGTGAGCCTAGCAGTTTTTCAAGATATCGATATATGTTCTACAAAAGAGAATTTCTGCAATGGGTAAGAAAGCCTCGTATGAAGAAACTAAGGCTAGATACGGTAAATAACTAACGGTGGAAGCGGCGGTGACTCGAGATCTCGAATACATGTCAACGCAGAAGAACTTGAGAAGGAAGAATGATGGATAGGGCAGTGAAAATGGCGACTTAACCCGTTTCCGCCGAGAAAGCCACTCGCGGTACCTTAGTTTTTAAGAGCTTGTAACTGACGTTAAAAATGTTAAAAAAAATTGAGATGGCTATATTCTGAAAGTTCAAGATTTGCTCTTTCCGATGGAGTCCATAAAAATTTTCGAAAAATTTTTTTGCTATTGCAAAATGCGATTTAATAAAAAAAAAACATGAATTTTTCACCCATCTTTTTTTTGAAAAGGTTTCCTTCGTGGAATCGACTCGGAACCTTATTAACCGGTGGATAAATGCTTAAATATTAGGGACTCATGGTTCGCGGATCGATTTTTCAAAATGGCTCCTTGATTGCAAAACTTTTGTCAATATGTTTATGAATTTTTGACTCAATAACTATGGGGTTATGGAAAAATTGTCAAGAGGGAAAATGTCTTTAAAATTACTCAAATATTGCACCCAAACTTTTTTAAAACGATTCAAGAAAATTTTTTTATTTCTACAAAAAGGAAATTTATGCAAAATTCATAAGTTGCTCGAAAAAATCCAAAAAAAAATTCCCATACATTCTACGGTTCATTCTAAGAACATATTATTCTTATAAATTTTTTTGTAAATGTAATAGTTTTTAAATAAAAAGTTTCTTAAAATCAAACTTACTCCAACTTTTTGTTTCTACTTTCCAAGATAGCTATATGTACGTTTGATGACTACAATTAGATTTACAATAGGATTTTTTACGTTTACGCAATACGAACGTGCTGCAGGTTGTCTTGGGGTATTCTATAGATTTAGCGGAGCAATTATTTATGGAATATATCTCATCTATGAAACGTTATTGTACGTAGCAGGTCTGGATTATTCGTATAAGTGTGTGAAATTTCTAATTTGTCGCATACTTTGTGTTAGAAAATTCATAGCATATTTTCACTTCTATTCTTTGCGAAAGCTTTATCTTGTTATTGGATTCGCTGAAGAAGTGCAGGCTTTTGAAAGTATACTTTCTTGGGTTTATCGTATGTGGATAAAAGATTGTTTACTTCTATACTCAAAAATCCGACCTTAATCAATGTAAAAAATTCCAAAAAGAAAAGCATCGCAAATTTCGAGAAACAAAGAATCTGCATCAGATCTTGAATATAACGATTCAGAACAAATCCAGACAACTCAGGCTCTGAGGGAGATTCTGAGTCAGATAATGAGAAATAATATTTTTTATAACTATTTAATAATACTTTTCATAACTATTCAGAGACTTAGAAAAAATTGGAACCAGATCATGAATTTTCATGGTGTAATGAAGAAAAAGTCAGCTCTGGAAACGTAGACGATCAATTACTGTTAAGTGATTCGGTAAAGAAAAAAATATGTTCAATGTCACCAGTGCAGTTATTTGAACTTTTTTTCTCTAAAGAAATAATAAATCATATCATTGAAGCTAGCGGAGCAAATGGCTTGGATTTCTCCACACAAGAACTTAATACTTTTGTAGGAATATTATTACTATCCTCGTACAACATACGAAATGAACAAAGAGAGTATTGAGAAACTGACCCCCTTGTGAAATGCCCCACAGTTTCTTCAGCAATGACTCGCGATAGGTTTGGTGAAATAAAAACAAAAATAAAGTATTCAAAACTTGACGATAAAAATGATAATGATAAAGCTTGGAAAGTTCGAACAATTTTGAATTTACTCAACAAAAATATTTAACAATTTGGTTTTTTTACGATGGTTCTTTCCGTAGATGAAATGATGCTTAGATTTTTTGGACGCACTTGCCTAAAACAATATTTACCTTGCAAGCCTGACAGATATGATCTAAAGCTCTGGGGCTTGTGTGGAACAAATGGATATATATTCAATATGGATATTTACTGTGGTAGAAATGATACTAGTATTGGAATAAATTTAGCAAAATGTCCACTTGGCTCCAGAGTAGTCTTACAAATGATAAATCCTCTTTTACTTGGCCTTTCAAAAAGAAAGCTATTACCATATCACTTCTACATCGATAATTATTTCACTAGTCCTGATTTAGTCGTTTATTTGAATAAATATGGATTACGATCGACAGGAACTGTTCGTAAAGATAGAGTCAAAGAAAAGCATATCTTTGAAAAAAAAGGTTCGCGAGGAACATTCAAAGTAAGTCATGACACAAACAGTGGTATGAACTTTATAAGTGTACCAAAGAGGTATCGGTTTTATCTAGAACAGTTAGTTTTACACCTATACAACAGATGAAAAGGTATTCACGAACTGTTAAAGATAAAACAGAAATAGGATTTCCTTTTGCCTTCTCATTGTACAACAAATTTGTGGGAGGCGTAGACTTGCGCGATTTTCGATGTAAAAAAGCTTCCCCAAGCAAAAGCTCTAAAAAATGGACATTCAAAATTTTGTTACGTATCATTGAAGCTTCAATTACAAATGCTTTAACACTTTGGAACATTTGCAATGACCATAAAAGTACACATGTAACAACAAAAGATTTATGCAAAGAAGTCAACAGAATGTATCGCCCAATTCTAAATTGGGTGATTTCCAATCCCACAAGTATGAAACTAGAACTAGAACGTTGTGTAATTACAAGAGGTGTCGTCAACGAACTACTAGATTTTGCACTGACTGCAACAAGAACTATTGCTTGAACTGTTTTTCTCGAGTGCATCGTGTGGAATAATTTTTTTTCTTTCAAATGTACGTAAATAATTAAAAAAAAAACAAAAATATAAAAAATATATAAAAATTACTAAAATATAAAAAAAGAAAGAAATTATCTAAATTCGTCGACCTCCACGATGGTGATAGTTGGGCAACGTAAACGGCGGATAAACGAAGGATGCACTGATACGACTTTGATACGCGTACGAATGGGACCAGAAATTTCTCTAGGAATGCACAATCCGGAAAAAATTATTAGAATAAAATGTTCTTAGAATGAACCGTAGAATATATGGGAATGTTTTTGGATTATTTCGAGCAACTTATGAATTTTGCATAAATTTCCTTTTTGCAAAATACAAAAATTTTTTTGAATCGTTTTGAAAAAATTTGGGTGCAATATTTGAGTAATTTTAAAGACATTTTCTTTCTTAACAATTTTTCCATAACCCTATAGTTATTGAGTAAAAAATTCATAAACATATTAACAAAAATTTTGCAATCAAGGCGCCATTTTGAAAATCCCCATGTGAAAAATCGATCCGCCAACCAGGAGACTCTAATATTTAAGCATTTATTCCACCGGTTAATGAGGTTCCGAGTCGATTCCACGAGGGAAACCTTTTCAAAACTCGATTTAAAAAAAAAGATGGGTGAAAAATTCATGTTTTTTTTTTATTAAATTGCATTTTGCAATAGCAAAAAAATTTTTCAAAAATTTTTATGGACACCATCGGAAAGAGCAAATCTGGAATTTTCAGAATATAGCCATCTCAATTTTTTTTGACATTTTTAACGTCAGTTACAAGCTCTCAAAGACTAGGGTACCGCGAGTATCTTTCTCGACCGAAACGGGTTAACTTAAAAAAGTAAGAATGCTTGCAATAAAACCAAGAGCTCTTCTCAAATGAGTACAGTTGTTCAGCATCAGCTTAAAACAGCAGTCTCTTCCTTTATTTCAATACTTTTAAATTATGTTAATTAAAAATTTCTGAAATATGTTCTATTCAATAATGTTCTCTGATCAATTAAATTGCGTCTAATCAATTTAATCATTATTTGTTATAGAATGGACTTCTCTGCAAAAAAGGTGGAGAAGGTGTTCTTCCTACCTAAGAAAACAATTTCTGATTTAGATAATAATTGCCAAAACAAAGTAACAATAGCTCGACCATTGAATACCAAATACTAACTCAGCATGGTGATAATGATTGATGGTCAATTTTCAATACTCATTACCAAACGACTAGGCTCAATCTTGAAACCTGATTAAGCAATGCTTGTTAATTTGATTCGAGAAAGGGATGAGAATGCAAATCTGCCATATCAAAGAAGCACCTTTTAACTCAGTTAATATTCGAATACAGTTATAAAAATAATATAGTAATACTATTATATGTCCAATAAAATAATTTTTGATACTCCGTGCGCAAAGTGTACTTTCCCGCACGCTCAGCAGAAAACGTGCGTTGAAAATCGCACTTTCCACACGTCCTATCAAAAAATATGGTACGGCACACATTTGGGAAAGAGTTTATTGTCTCATGAACCTTTCTACCCTCGCTTCGCTCGGTCGTAAATGCCACACGAGACAAGAATCTACTTTCCCGCACTTGTATTGTAATGTACTTTGTTCTAATAATGAATTAAAGATGCTTTTACATTTATTTTAAATTTCGTTAACTGTAATATTTAATATCAAATTTACATGGAAACTAAAATAATATACAACATATGTTGACCTCAAGATAAATTTCTAGAGAAGCAGGAGGTAGCTGCGATGACTTGAAAAAGTAGTGAGGTGGTTAGAATTTGTAAAGAACTAGCAACAGCTTCGATTAACGTCATTCTGTTGTACAACGTCTGTCCGAAAAGTATCAGGCCTATCATCGGGCGGACGGCATCCTCAAGCATAATCTCCATTTGATTGAATAACACGGTTCCAGCAATGTTTCCACTTCTCAAAACAGTCCTGGGATTTACTTTCAAGGATGGCCTTGAATACGCTTGGCACATTATTTTCTACCGTCGTTTTGTTATCAAATTGCTGTCCTTCCAGTGATTTGATGAATTTTGGAAACGCCCAAGTCACATGGGGCTATGTTGTGACTGCACGGAGATTGTTGAAGTGATACAATACTGTGTTTACTCAGAAAGTACTATATAAGATTCGATGAATGCGCTATCGCATTATCTTAATGAAGAAGCCACTTAACCAAAAGTGCAGGAGTTTTTTCTACTATTTGTTATGTTTTCTACTATTAAATAAATTGTCATTACTACAATTGAACTCGAATCATCCTACGGAAAGATTACTGTCAGTCCAGTGGTCCATGACTGTGGAAATTGATCCGCGTGTGGAGACACGCTGCATTAATCGACACCTTAACGCATGCCTGCCTCTAACGTAATATGGCGTCCTATCTAATAATATCCTGTCAGGTTGATTTAGGTGGCCGCGTCTGTCACATCGTGAATACTAACCAAATAAATTAACTATATTTCTCTTTTCATTCAGTAGTAAAACGATTATATAGCACAAAACACGATTGTTACCGGCGAAGCTGTCACAGAATCACACTTTCTGCCTCTTGTTTTCTTTTGCTTTTTTTCCTTCTTTTCCTCTCTCGTTCAATTTTCTTGATTTCACAACCGCAAGTCACACCATGATCTTGATCAACACGCTAAGGAAGGATGCTCTAGCTCCCCGAAGTGAGAGGCAAGAGGAACTCACTATAAAAAAGCACCCCGAAGGGAATAGATTCCTTCTACGTCCACGTCGTTGTTCCTGGATAGCGCTAAAAGGAGGATTAGGAGTTACGATATCTTCGGACTTGAATCGTTCTCACCAGTAAAATTTATCACTCTTTTTGATTTTAGTATAAAAATAGGGGTTCCCATAGGAAAAAATTAGGTTGACCTTGAAATAACCTTGAAAACGAGGTTCAAGGTCAAATCAGAGGTCACTTTTGGGTTCCTCGTTGAAAGTTACATAGGGTATGACCTTTGTTTCATGACTAACCTCATGCGGTTTTCCAAATTTTCCGGGGTTTCCATACTTTTTCCTCACCTTATATATGACTACGTATGATACTATATATATATATATATATGTACATATATTGTAATGAGTATTTTTCGTTTCGCAAATTCAATTGCGTGGATGGAGCGGCATCAGCTGCAAGACCAACAAAGCAGCGAGGGAGAGAGCGCGAGATAGAGAGAGACAGAGAGAGAGAGGTGGTGCGCACGTATACTGGCAGTCTTTTCCTGTCCACTCAAGTCACCACACCTATTCTTAAAACAAATAAAATGTTTCTAAGATTTCGGTGTGTTAACTGATAGAATGGGAAGAAAGGCAGATCTAGTGCAAAATCCACACAATGAACAGTGTGTAATCTCCACCGAATCGTCGCGGCAAATCTCTCGTGTAATTTCACTTCACGAGTTCAATTTTGTGTGACGATCTGTTGGCGAAGCCGCGGCCCACCTCAAGTACTAGAGTGGAACTCCGAGCTCGACGAGCTCGAGATCCAGCACCACGCAAAATCTTCGACGAAAAGTGTCCGTATCATCGTGTCGTCATCAGCGATAGCAGCGAAAGCGAGGCGATGAAATTTGTCGACTGGCTAGCGACAAAGTTAAAGTAGCGTCTAATTTGTATTGTTTGCAAGCGAAAGCGTGCGCACGGTTTATCGGTTGCGTACGTCTGGTAGGGATGTGCAACTGTATTCGATTAATGGAAGCATTCGATTATTTGAAGAGAAAAATCGAATATTTGTTCGATTATTTTGAAGCTCAATTATAGTTGAATCGATTATTTTTTGGCTCATAATCGAATGAAACAATCTGTGGCGTGCGCATGCGTCTCAAAGCCGCGAAGTAACATTTTTATTATTATGAAAAGTACTTTCTTTGATCGTTTTGCGTTTTGATCATTCGTAGAGATACTAAAAGATAGAAAGAAAACCTCCATAATCGACCATAAAAAATCCAGGGGAGCATGTGATTACTGTTGTTCATCATCATGGACGTAAGTAATGGAATTATAACTGTTTTACTTATAATACATTAGATTGGGCCGAGTTAACCTCAAATCTTGAGTTTTTTCCAAATTAATGCATTCGAAAATAAAATCGATACGTATTTATTTTTATGATTTGTCTAGAAGCGACGAATCCCAGAAGATTTACGATTTATTTCCAACGTGATGGTGACAATCCCATTCGCATCAGTAACCTCAATGTTCGGGATTACCTGTTATTGAAAAACAATAATGCACAAGCCCATTATTATTGTACCATCCAATTTGCTCCTATGAGAATCCATCGACTTTGGAGATCGCTAGACGATGTGGAGTAGTTAGTTTTTTTCAATTTTTTCACGATCAATAAATATAATCAATTTATCATACTAAAATTATTTATGTATTTACAGCACATTAATCTACGATTCCGAAGAAGATGATCGAATCATCAGGAAATAAAAAAACTGTATAAAATTAAAATAAATAATATATACGTAGTGTCTAAACATATCGTTTTTATTATTTACAACACAAATCTCACATTTTTATATTTTCGACGTTTTAATTAACCCGCGTGTTGAGTGTTCAAACATGACTCTGCAGTTGGATTATTCCGCGCATGCGCGGTCAACACGTTCTTTGGAGTCTTTCGAGTTTCGCTACTGAAATGTAAAATAAGCGCCTTTTTCTATCGCTCTTATCTTCATCAATCTCATCAATTATCATCACTATTTATTAATACGCTTCTCAACTCCTTTTTAATTCAAAATTCAAGATATTAATTGAAAAATGTCTGGTTTTTTTGGTGATCCAGGAGGACAACAAGAACAAGGTAAGATGATTATCACGGAAATTTTGTTTTGTGTTGTGAAAAGTGAGGTTAGGCATACAAGATATTCTATATTTATAATGTTTTCATTTTGTAGAACCAAGAAGAATATCTATTTGGTTGAAGATTGA